GATGCCAGAAGGTTGGACAGCCTGGTTTAGGGGCCGGAGGGCCTGTGGCCAGTGGCCCGGCTCCACAGCCTGGAAGTGGCCTTGCTCTGTGAGGCCACCCCATGTCTGGGTCCTGTGTCTCCTGGCCCCTGGAGGGACCTGGAGTGGCATCACTGACTGCCTCGAGCTTTGGGGGGAGGTGCCCTTTGGGGTTTGGGGTCTCTCTTCACTGCTTAGCTTCTACCTTCCTTCCAGCTCAGGATTCTGGTCAACAGCTCTTCACCTCCAGAGGACAAATGCCCCCAACACAAAGCCCATCCTTTCCTTCCCCCAGGCAGAGCCTGGCTGTGCCCAGGGTCCACCTTCTGCCCCAGGAGTCAGGGCAGCAACTCCAGCCCCACGCAGACCAGGGGCTGACCCTGACTGGCCCAGGCTAATCCCTTCCAGGGGTTGGCTCGCAAGCTGGTCAATGGGATGTGAGAGGTGCTAGGGGTCAGGAGATCCTCTCCTTGCTCTGCACACCTGTCCAGGGAGGTGTGGAGCTTTGGACTGCATTCTTCTCGAGATCAGCGAGAGGCCAGTGGAGGCCAGGCCACTGCGGGAGGGACGGCAGAGGGAAGTGGAGACAGCCTGGAATACTCCCACTTGTCGTCACGTGACAATCAGCTTTCTTCATCCGAGGTAGGTTGTTTCACTTGCACCCAAATTCACACAGATCCTTTGAGAACCTGGTCAAAATAGTGACTTCTCTTGGGAAAAAGGCTCCAATCCAGAGTAGGGAGTATTGTGGGGGGTTCCCGGTCTCCCAGGGACCACCCACAGGTCACAACACACTGGGATCCCTGGCCAGATCTCCTTGTCTCATCTCCGCCGCTGCGAGGCTGGCTCCTGGGGAACACAGGCTGGTTCGCTTCTGAGCAGCATGCCCAGATGCAGGCAAAAGGCAGGGAGGAGGGTGGTCTGTAGCACCCAGACAGCCCCTGCTTTCTCTCCCACCGGAAACCGCTGATGCCCACGGAACATTGTGCAGAGACTGGGCAGAGCTCGGTGAGAGCTGGCTGCTCTTCTTCTATTTTCTTCAAGGACAGGCAGGGGCGCTACGCTCCCACTCCCACCCCACAGGCAGGCTTGGGTCACTGCTCCGCCGAAAGCAGGTCTGCTGGCTGACGGGCAAGAGGCCTGGTTCGGGGCATGTGGTGGGGCCACCTGGAAGCCCTAACAGCCCCCCGTTTATCACTCCCTCTGTCCTCCAGGTTCTCCGGAGTCCTAACCAGGAAAAAAGATTGAGGGTATTCCTGAGGCAAAGGCAGTTGCCCAGTGGATGTCAGACTCTGACGTCTGGGCCAGGCTGGCTCCATCCTAGCCTGGTCAGAGGCCATCTCTGAGCCTTGAGGTGGGCACCGACCTAGCAGGCTCTGGCTGCCACCCCAGGAGGCCTGGGGATGAGAGAGGAGACAGTCCTGTCTTAAAACCTCAGGCCCCGAACCCCACCGCCATTGGCCCGTGGGCACCAGCTGTGTCTTAGCCTGTTCGTCAGCTGTCCAGTTGCAGTCTTCCTGAGGAGGTTGAGTTCAGCGGACGCTGGGATCTCCTTTTAGTTTCCTTGTTTAAGTCCTCATTTTTAAACACAGTCTGCAAGCAGCAATAACAGTCCCTCTGGAGGCCACTTCGAAACATCTGGAGACAGAGGGCTTGTCTGCAGCACCTGGATGCAGGGCCTGACCTGCAAGTGCTTCACACGAGCACTTAGAGGCACCTCAAAGCAGGGCAGGTGTGACCCTGCTTCTGTAAACCATGGACAGTCATGGCTTAATTGCTAGTCACATCTACTGATGAAGCAAGTTACATTCTGATTAGACTCACATCAAATTTCATCTCTTGGATCAAGATGTATTTCACAAGATGTTTTCATGTTTTCAGGCCTAATGATACATCTTCAATTAAAAAAAGTCTCACTCTTGCATCATAAAGCACAGATCAAAATTAAATGCCTATCACAGCCCATGTTCAAGGGTAAAGTGTAAAAGACAGCTGACATTTAGCTGGGAACTTTTAAAACACTGAGACTAAATTATGACCTAAACTTACTCTTCTTAATGACACATATAAAGTTCAACTTGGAATATGAAAACAAAGTTCCCAGCAATATTAAGGAAATAAAGGTCCTTCAAAAATGGTCAGTTCTTGTTTTGATTAAATTGTGCATTTTTAATATAGTTGGTATAAAGTGAAACTCTTAAAAAAACATCTAGGAATTTTAAAATAAAATGGAACATCCTATTTTCAGGGTCACCAGTATCACAGAGAGATTTGCCTCTTAAACAATGACACTTAGTGTCTGTGTAGTTCCATGAATACTTTTGAAGTGTCATATTAAAACCAATCTTGTGGCCTTGAGGCAAAGAGAAGCAATTAGTCTTGGAGTTGTGAATAAATAAAAATCCATTTATACACCCGTCCTTGACATGTACCTTGCAAATCTTAGAAACTTCATCTAGTGGGAAAAGAAATGTTAAATCGTGAATACCAATACTAATCGCATTGCCATGTGGCTTCCTAAAATACTTTAGTTCATACCAATGTTTTAAGTATTAATTTATATGTATATATTCATCCATATTGAACACAAAACAGAGAAGCTCTAGCAGGCACATAGAAAAGAGGAAGAAAGGAGGGAGGGATGCTGAAGCCACAAGGGTAAGAGGTTTTCAACGTCTCTGTGCACCTCAAACATAAGCATGGCGCCTCCTCCCACATGCTCCTTCCCCCCCCCGCCAGCACACAGAGGCCTGGGAAGGGGTCAGGTGCTGTCCCCAAAGGAGTCTGGGACACCGGCCTCCTCCGTTCCTGCCGTCCTCCATTTGTGATCCCAACCGCCACTTAAGGGAGGGAGGATCAGGAGGTCAAAGAATGTGGGTACTTGCTTCACTTCTTATTTGGATCCATTTCTTCAATGCCGGGCAGGGTGTGTATAAATGGGGACTTTGCTGTCCCTTGGCCTTGTGTGACTCTGAAGAGATTGGGGCTGTCGGCCACCGGCCACCGAGCAGAGCGGAGCTGACCTCCGGGCCTGGCAGGGGTGTAGAAAGAAGGGTGCTGCGGTGCGGCAGGGGCTGGAGGCCCACAGCCCGCGGCGCCAGGACGAGGGGAGCAGTGGGCATGCGGTCCGTGGGGCCGGCTGGAGCCGCTGCGCAGATCCCTGACCTACTTCCACGGCCCCTTTCAGTTCTAGGAGCAGCTAAAAAATCCATAAATTAAGGATATTAACTGATGGGGCCTGCGGCATCCTTATAAGCTATTTAAATCTATAAATTTACAACATCTTCTGCATATATCAAGTAATTGAACTAACTGCAGGGATGTAACTTTAATGAGAAAATTTCCCTTCTCCTGTAGCTCAAGCTCTAAAATAAATAAATAAATAAATAAATAAATAAATAACATCTTCCCTTAGGAGAAAAGTTTCTGCTTATTCCCGCGTGGAGAAGTTACAGAAGCGCGGTCCTCTTTCCACGCGCGAGGTCCTCTAGTCAAGGGAAGCTGGCCCCCCACTTCGTCCATCTCCCACCAGAGCGCCCCCCGCCCCCCGCCCACGGCCGACCCCCAGTGCCCCCAGCGAGTGGGACCGCTAGAGGGCGCCGAGGTCTGGCTGGAGCTCGGAGTGGGGGCCCCGGCGCAGCTCCCGACCCGAGAGCACCCATCCATCAGCCCCAGCCTAGTTCTGGCCCCGGTGCCCCTGGAGCGGGACACGGGACGCACTGCAGGCCCTGCGCACTGGCGTCTCCAAGCTTCGTTTCCTAGGAGCCGGGAAATGGTCCGGGGATGTGAGGGGGACGGGTGGGGCTCCAGGGAAAGCGGAGGAAGGGGAGGAGGAGGTAAGAAAGGAGGAGGAAGGGGCAACGGACGCGGGGACCTGGGAGGGTCGCCCCGGGCACTGGCCTCGGCGCCTTTGGAGTTTTTGCCGCAGACGTCTCCGACGCGCGGCGGGCGGAGAGGAAATGGCGCGTCTGGCCCCGGGCGGCCTGTCGGGCGACCCCCTCCCCCGCGGTGGCCGACCGCGTGTCCGCAGACGTCACGGGCGGCGCTGCTCCACGGAGAGGGGCAGTCAGGGCCGAGACCGGGGGAGGGGGAGGGGCGGACTTGGCCCCCGGCTCCGCTCCAGCCCTGGCAGACTCGCAGCCCAGTTTCTTCCCAAGTCCCGCCCCCGGCCCCGGGCGCCGCGGCGGCGGCTGCTCCCCTCTTTGTAACCGAGGAGTCAAGAAATGTGAGAAACGTGCCCTGTGTTACTTATTTGGGAGCCGAAAATTTATGCCCAGCTGAAAGCGCCCGGGGAAATATTACATCAGATGAAATGACAATGATTAAAATCAGCTTCTCCCCCGCCCCCTTCTGAGCCTGGAGGAGGCCCGGGCGCCGCGTGGCCGGCCGGCGGGGGGCTGGGCGGCGGAGGGCACCGGGCCTGGGCGCACCGCTCCGGGGAGCGTCCTGGCGGAGACCCGGCGGGAAGGCACCGGCTCTGGGAGAGGCGGGTGGGAATCACCCAACGAAAGAAGGGAAAACAGTGCATTTCTGTCGCCAAGCGCAGCAGGCGCGGGCGCGCAGAGCTAATTGCGACTCTAATCCTCTGCCCCGCGGCGCAGCCAAGCCCCGAGCCAGGAGTCGCCGCGCGCTCCCGCTCGCGCTCGCTGCGCTGGGTAATTTGGAGCCGAATCGTTGCCCTTCGCGTCCGGGTTCGGCCGCCACGGGGCGCGGGCCACGGGCTCGGGCGGGGGGGTAGGTTTCCTCGCCAGCCATCCGGGAAGGCCGCTGGAGAGAGGAGGGAGCAGAGGAGGTGGGAGCGGCAGGAGGGCAGCCGGAGAGCGGCGCGAAGAGGAGGAGGCGGCGGTGGCGGCGGCGGCCGCGAGAAGGGGAGGAGAAGGGAGGGCGGGGAAGGGAGGCCCCGGCGCGCCGCGCCGCGAGGGGCCGCGCGAAGCGGGGGCCGGGGCGGGAGGGGTGGGTGGGGGGGAGGGTTGGGGGCGAGAGAGAAAGTAACTCCAGGAGAGACCGGAGCGACCCGCGCAGCGAGCACAGGCGGAGAGGCTGCACCAGGCTCCCGAGACCGGCGGCTGCGGGGGGCGGGGGCTGTGCCCGAGCCGGATTCCCTGCTTCTGCTCAGAGGTAAGCCCTGCGCAGGCGGCCACCGCTTAGCGCCGCGCACCCCTGTCCCCAAAGTGGCTGCGATACCGAGAAAGTCTCCCGGCCGGGGTTCGGACCTGGGCGCGGGCGGCTGCTTTGTCCCGGTGCTGGGCGGCGGGGGCAACCAGCACAAAGGCCTGGCGCAGGAGGGGGAATTGCCCACGTGAGCTGGTCCTGGCCTGGGGCAGACCCTCCCCACGCGGGCGGGCTCGGCGCTTCCTGCTGTGTGGGGCGGGAGGGGGGGCGGGTTCAGGCCCCAGCACTGGAGCCTAAGTGCAGGGACGGCGAGTTTCTGGGGTCAGAACTGGGCTCACGCAGTTGGGGCTTCGGAGACGATCGGGATCCGGCCTGGCGCTCAAATCAGAGAAAAAGTCTCTAACGGGACAGATGTGCGTCCTCTGACGCCCACCCTGCGTGTGCCAAATGGGACGGGAGGGGTCGGCGCGCTTCTGGTCGTCCCAGGAGCGCGGAGGTTTGGGGCTCCGGGGCCGGCGGCGCGGATACGCGGTCGCGGCCTCCGGGTCCCTGCTGCCCGCCGGTACTCACTGCCTGGACGCGCGCACCGGACACACGGTCCCGAACGTCCGTCCTTCCGTAGCCGAAGCGCCTTTAGGTCTCCCCTCGACCCCCACCCGACTGCAGAAAGATAAGCTTCAAGTTTTCACTCCGTCTTTCAAATGTGCATGAAGGAATTTAACTGCATCGAATAACAGCATTAGTTTCAATTATTTTTTTAAATCCCGCCAACAATAAACTTTGAGAACAAAAGCGCTTTTACGCCCTTAATTAGGCAAGCTTCCCATCTGTGGTCTCTGTCTGCTTCTTGATTTAACTTTGCCTTCGCCCCCAGCTCACACGCCTCCCAACCCCGCCGGGCTCTTCGGGCTCCGGGGGCCACCCCGGCCCCGCGGCGCCGCCCACCGCGGCCCAGCCGGCTCTAGGCGCCCCGAAGTTCACACCGGCCGGCGGGCTTCGCGGCCCGGCTGGCGCGCGCCAGGTGGCCCGCGGACCTCGCCTCCGGCCTAACCCCTGGGCAGTTCTGCAGGCCCCTGGCAGTTTCGCCCCGGGCTGGCACCCGGGGTGCAGAGCTGGAGAGAGCTGGAGAGGCGCCTTCTGTTTGCCTTTTATGGTTAAAATAACAGCTTAGCAAAGAAGCGACTTCACGAAGAAGCGATTTAGTGAAATCGTCTCAAGCTGCCGCAGCTCAGCCAGTTTAATCACCCCCAGAGAGCTGAACAACTGCGAGCACAATGGGACACAAAATCATTTTGTGTGTAAATGAGCGTGGCATTCTGCTCGCTTCCCTCTGCTCCGGCGGGCGGGGCTCGGCGGTGGCGGGCGGGCGCGGGTCCCGGAGCTCCCGCCGCGGCTCGGAGAAGCGGGTCAATACCCAGCCAGTGTGGAAACCACCCGCGGGCCCTGCAACAGGCTGTTTGGCTGGTCCTCGGGTGGGCCGTGATGCCGGGGCTGGGTCCTGCGTGGGTTTGATGTTGGCGTTGGTGGAGTGAACTTGTGTGTCTCACTGCACCCACTTTTATGGCCTCAGCAGTGGTCTCGGGGAGAGGGTCGTTGTCCAGCACGGATGCGTCGGGCGCAGGGAGCACTGGAGGTTCTGGTCAAGGCGTAAAGCCTGGGGCTTCCAAAGGTGAGTTTCCGGTTTGCCATGAACGTCAGGTTGTGCTTGCGAAGGAAACGAGGCTGGAAGAGAGCGGGTTTGAGCAGCTTGCTGCTGGGTCCATGGTGTCAAGTGTCACTCAGAGTGGTGCCCTGGTGACGGGGGAACACTGCAGTTTGCTTTGACAGAGTTTCCACCAGAATGCCTTCCAGCAGTTGATCCTCAGTGTGGCTGTCCCGACCCCTCACCCAGCAGAGCCTCCCACCACCTAACAACCTATTCTCGAGATCTGTTTTGGTTTCTCAGGACTTCTTGAGATAAGTAACCTGCTTTTTAAAAAAAGCTACCTGGTACTCAGGAACGTCCAAAGCAGCAGCCCCGAGTGGGGGTTTGAATTAAACATCTCTGTCACTAATCCACCCCCACCCAGTTTCCCGTCAGGGGCCTTTTCAGGACACTGAAGACAGAACAAATCTTAGAAGAGTAGCATTACTTGAATTTGCATGATTTGATGCTTATTGAACCTTGGTCCGTGTTTCAAAATTGGATGTTAAATTTCAAGGCACAGAGTCAATCCTTAAGGGAGGCTCCCTTGAGGCTTAAGCCTGTGAGAGACAAGACTTGGTTAGGCTTGCAGAAGCCAGTGGGGAGGGTGGTGTTCACTGGGCATGTCCCCCCACTGCCCATGAGATTGGAAAGGGCTGCATAAACCTGCTCTTGCGTAGGGCCTATAGGGTGCCCTGGGTGGCTTCTAAAGACTGGGGAACGATCTATTTTCAGGTGGCCGTGAGGCAGAGGAAAGGGGCTGAGTGACTGGGGAGGAGCAGGAGGTAGGGTTCATTGGCTAAGCCGCTGTGGGTTCCCTTCCAGCTAGCTCTCTGATGCCTCGGGGGTGTGATTCCAAGGGGGCTGGGATAGTGAGTGAGGCGCAGACAGGACCATTCTGGGGGTCTAAGAGGTCCTGGGATCCCCAGCCCATTTAGGGAGGGGGAATCCTCTGTGTAGAGTGGCCCCCAAGGTTCTCTGTTGATGCAAGAGGAGACACGCTTGGTAACATGGCTCTAAACCTAAAATACCAGGAAAATCAGATTTGTTCTGAAATATTTTTGGCAATTATGGTGAGCATATGTTTTAGTATTGTCATTAGCTAAATTATCAGACATGGAGCTGCCCAGAAAACGTGTGTGTGTGTGTGTGTGTGTGATTTGCTGTGGCCCAAATGCATGCTTTGGGGTACAGGGACAGGGTAGTGGTGGGTATAATCGAGGATGCTGTGCAGTAGGCATGGGGTCTAAGACAGCATGTGCAGAAAGGATGATGTTAAGTGTCTCTATGGGAGACACAGCACCCATGACGACTGAGGAATAAGCCCTCTGTTTTGTCGGTGCTTCCCACAGATACTCTGGGCAGCGATGGAAGCCTAGATGCCTCACCGCAAGGAGCGGCCGAGCGGGTCCTCGCTTCACGCCCAAGGCAGCACCGGCACTGAGGTGAGAGCCAGAGGGTGGGCTGGTCAGCGCCGGTGGCCGCCTCTTTACCCTCTTTATGAATGCCTGCGCACCGCCGCGCTGGCTGCCCTTCCTCGCAGCTGCGGCATTCAAGAGATGGCTGTTGACTTGCTGTACGATTATGTATTTTTTGAAGCAAAAATGCTCTTAATTTGATGTGAAATTTACTACATGTATAAAACCCATTGCCTTAGGTGTTGAAGAAGTCACTAATTTAGAGGTGTCTCGTTACTGAGACAAACTTGCAAAAACCCCTGAATCCCAATTCACAAATTGGTGATTCGTTTGTCAGGGGATATTTCACATCTAACACATAAGCCTGCGACCTTTAATTAGAATTTTGCAGTTTGTTTTATGCCCCTGGAGGCTGACACCTTGAAATTTTTTTCTTGATTTCTTATTGCTAATAAGCATCTTTCTTTTTCCCTCTGGTACTTTGAAGAGAATGATGCAGATACACTTAATTATAGTGGTGGCCACAATTTGTCAGCTGAATATGTGATCAGGCACAGGCACAAGTGATCTGATTAGATCTGTGATCACATTGGCAATAAAGGGTGTACACAGCTCCGTGGTGAAGAAACTTGTTTCTGCCTCGTTTCCGTCTCCAGGAGGGAGGAAGCATGTCCCGGTTGTCTCTCACCCGGTCACCTGTGTCTCCCCTGGCTGCCCAGGGGATTCCACTGCCAGCCCAGCTCACCAAGTCCAATGCGCCCGTGCACATCGATGTGGGCGGCCACATGTACACCAGCAGCTTGGCCACGCTCACCAAGTACCCCGACTCCAGGTAAGAAAGAGCCAACCCCCTTGTAGTGATAGGCATGAGGCGGTGACTGGCAGCGTCTGCAGCCTGCTACCAGTGGGGCCTGTCTGCCAGCAAACACGCAGGGCTTTGGAGGCCCACCCCGGAACCAGAGTTGGGAAGCCGCGGGGACTTGTGATCCTGGCTGCAGTGGTAGTGCTAGATGGAGCTTCTGACCCGCCCGCTGAAGCCGCTGATTCAGAGCCAGTCCCACCTGAAGCTAGCCAGCAGCTGGCTGGGGAATCTGACACACCTTCAGCTTCCTCTCCAGTGCGACTCAGGCCTGGCCTTTTCAGGGGATCATTTGTGAGCAATGCTGTGTGCTTCTTGGGGTCGTGTTCCAGTTCTAACCCTTGGGAAATCGCATGCGGGGAGGGAGGAGGGGAAGCTAGTTTGCTGTCTTTGTCGGTTGGATGGCTACCGCTGGACCTTGAGGGCTAGCAGCAGGCTCCCTGGGGTGGATGTGGGGAATGCAGTGACTATTCTGGAGAAGCATAAGCCTCGCACTTAGCAGCATGTAGTGTCTCTGACTAGGGCCCTCCCAACCTGGCATCTCACAGTCTGCAGAGCTCCCTGGCCCCCCTGCCTTGTGGGCCTACCTGTGGGAGGTGCTAGGTACTGCGGACTCCTGCTCTTGCGTCTTGGGCATTTCCCTCCCAGGGGCAGACCCGGTCTCCCACTGGCACAGCACCCGGGCTGACCCAAGCTGGGGTGGGTCTCCGTGAGCTTGTCCCAGAGATGATGCGGCGTGCTGCCTGCTGAGCCCACCACTCCCGGCGCCTGGCACAGTGAGGCGGCCACTGCTGGGGGCTGAGCAGCGGGGGGCCAACGCCGTGGGCATCACCCATTTTTATACTTTTAAAATAGCAAGAGGAGTTCATTAATCCCCCTGACACCCGAGGGATCCTCTCTGGGAAGCTTTTTTGTCAGGCTGCCTGATCGTCAGTGTGGTTGCTCAGGGACCCCATAAAGGGTCCCTAGTGTGCGGAGGTGGCTCTTGGTGCAGCAGGGGCCGGGGTGGAGCCCGCTGTGCAGCTGCGGTGATCACTTGAGGGAATGTTGAGATGGATGCAGTGTCCAGTCAGAATCTGGGGATTCTGGGGAGCAGATGTCAATGGAGGCTTCATATTCTTGGCCCCACAGAGGCTAGGCCTGCGGCACTTGTGAACTTGGGTCTTGGGGGCTGGAGGGGAGGCGGCAGCAGTGCTGGCCTGTGCACTAGCTTGCAGAGCTGGCTAGGACAGGAGATGGATTCTGCTTATTTAATGTCAGCTTTTCCCTCCGTGGCAATCCCAGGCTATTTGAGATAGGTCACCCCTTCATTGATTGACAATAATTATGAGTGAAATTTATAAAACCCTTGCCCACAGCCTCTCTGGAGAGAGTTTCCTGAAATCAGACACTTAACCTTCTGGAATGATCGCAGCCCAGGACTACAAGGAATGACCTCCCTACTCCTGTGTCTAGGCTGCTTCTTGGAAGCAATGAGGGCAGGGGTGGTCCTCCCCCAGACCCACAGTGCAGCTTGTCCTGGCCGGTGGTGCTGCTCTGTGGTAGGGTGGGCCCTCTGGTGGGGTGGGCCCTCTGGTGGGGAGCCCAGGCCCCTGTGACCCCTGGGCTGCAGGATATGCCCAGAGGGGGTGGCGGTTCTCAATCTTTCCTGAGGCTGGGGCTCAAGAAGAATCTGCCGTTCTGCACGGATGGCTTCTGGCTTATAGGGGACCTGCTGCTTTGGCCTGAAGCTTTGGCCTAGAGGCCAGGGGATGGTGTGACCTGTAGGTCACACAGGGGGATGGGGGGGCGGGGAGGGTCAAGCCAGGCCTGAAAAGTGAGCTGCGCAGCTGTGCTGGCACAGTCCCCTCTGATCTCTCTCGTCCCTCCTTGAGTGAATCATTAAAATGAAAAAGAACTATTTGTTACCAATTCTGGAAACCAAGATCAATCCTCTGCCCAGTCTGACTCTGTGAGTCACTTGGAAATAGAGGGTTAAAAGTGCTGAGTCCCCCTGGGGGGTTTCTGGGTAGAAGTGCTGAAGTCCCACGCTGGACATTGGTGAGAGACCAGGGCCTTACGCCCCCAGGACCATGGCTGGTGGGGGTGGCTCCAACACCAGGAACAGTTGCCACCACTGGCTGGCCCAGGAACAGCTGCCAGTCACTGCCCAGCTACAGCAGGACGCAGCCACCTGGGGCTGGGCGTCCACTCCCTGGGGCCGAGGCTGTACAGCTGCCGACACTGTACCTTCACTCTCCCGTCCCTCTGGCTGTGCAAAGGGACATGTTGGGATGTCCAGGAGCTTCAGCACTAATAAAACCTTCCACTGAAACATTGAGGAAATTGGAGCCAGTGCTTAAAAAAGGAGAAAAAAGATCCTTGTCAGCTGTGGTCAGAACTGGCCAGCCTATACCTTGGAGGACTTCTAAATTTGGCACTCAAGCCCCGGGCCTCTCTCAGGGCGGCCTGGGGCAGGAGCTGACTCCTGAGGCCCTGTGCGCATCTGGTGTCCCTTTGCAGAGACTGACCTAATCTTCCCTCAACCTGCTCACATTCTTAGTAGCCTCAGACCCCAAGGGCACGAAAAGCCTGCGTCCTGTGAAGAGACACTGAAGCATGGAAAGATCTAGAACCAACTAGTCCCCGAATAAAGCAGATTGAGCACTTCTAGTCTTGGACCAGTAAACAGCCTAGAACCCCGTCAGCCCCAGCGTGGATCCAGAGTCCTGGGGTTCCCAGCCCTGACACTGCAGGGACATGCAATGAGGCTGGGACGTTGCTGGCTTCTCAGCCAGGAAGGGGTAGGAAGTTCCACGCAGAGGTTTCTGCTTAGAGCTGGCTGGTGCACCTGTGGATGTGGCTATTACTTCTGTCTGCTGATGCCACATGGGACCCCAGCTGTCCACTGGTGACTGCTCATGGCACCTGGCAGCTGTGCTCAGCCTCAGCTGTCTCCAGGGGTGCTGGGTGGCCCTCAGTCTGCTGAGGCCAGGTCTTGGGGGCTTTGAGGGTCGAAACAGGCCACGGGGCCCACAAGGCTGCCCAGTAGGGCTGTGTGGCCCAGTTCTGTTGTCACCAGGCCTGGCAGAGGTGGGGGTTGAGAGGGCTCGGTAGTGTTAGAGCTCTGAGATGAGTCGTGTCTGGGTGACTGCAGCACTGGTTCCGCAGGCTCGGGCCTCCCCAGACCTCAGCGCAGGCTCTGACCCACGGTATGCCCATCCATGAGGCAGCCTTACCCTTTTACACAGCCCCACTAGGGCGGGGCGGGGCCATGTCCCCAGAGAGAACAGGTCACCACATGGCTACTCCCCACCCGGGCAGACCCTCATGGCCAGTGCTGAGTGTGCCAGGCCACCGGAGGGGAGGACTGTGTAGATGGGAGGCCCTGAGAAAGGCTTTGGGGCCCTAACCCCTCGGCTTCAGCCCAGGCCTTGGGGTGTGTCCTGGCACGACAGCAGGGCAGGGCAGAGCCTCTGGTGTGGTGACTTGGAATGGACTGGGCTGCCAGGGCTCTGAGGCCTGCTGCCTCTTCCTTGGAGGGGGTGGGGCCAGACCTCAGGTGCCCCCCGAGACCTCCTGAGTGTCTGTCAGAACCACTGCCCCTCTGAGGGTGAGGCGCCAGGCCCTTTCTCCATCCCAGGCCCGCCCCCCCAGGTGTGCACATCTTCACGCACTGTGGCGCATGTGCCTACACTGTTTCTGTGTACTGACATATGGGTGCTGACACAGGTGTGTGCACTGTGGCATGCACACACGTGTGCAGAACCCCCTGCCTGCCTCGGATCTTCCTTAGGGCTCCCTGAGTAAGTGGCTGTTGGTGGCTTACCTGTGAGTTTGTCACTATGTCCCTGGTTGGCTTGTGGCGGCTGGTGTGTCCTTTGCCTGGATGTGTCTGGGCCTGTGATTTGTATGTTGTGAGGGCGGCACCATGGGACCCTGTGCCTGTTGCTCAAGTGTGTCCCATCTGAGCTCACCCCTGTGGGCCGGTGAAGTGGATGTGTGGGACCCGGGACTGTCTCGGCCGGTTTATGTGTGTTCATCGGGTGTGTGGCTGTGGGCTGCAGCGCCTCATGGTTGGGGGTTTTCTCACTGGGTCTCCCTGGCTGAGGGCTGGGCGGTGACGAGGAGGCTGCGTCTGTGTCCCGCTATAGTTCTTAGGCCTGTGATGTGTGTCAGCAGGCGGGTATGTACAGCTGGGTGTACTCTCTGGCTGTGGCTTGTGAGTGAGTATAGGCGGGATGTGTGGCACGTGGTGCTGGCTGTGCCAGTGGCCCGACTGTGGCCTGGCTGCTCCGGTGCCCGCAGACATCCGTCAGTTTGCGTCACCCAGGTAAGGCCCCTCGTCACTCCAGCAGGGTGAGCCCTAAGGAGTGGGGCTGGGGTAGGTGGACTGACCCCTTCTATCAGACATCCCACCCTCTGTCTCTCCCAGAATAAGCCGCCTCTTCAATGGCACTGAGCCCATCGTCCTAGACAGTCTGAAGCAGCACTATTTCATTGACCGGGATGGAGAGATTTTCCGCTATGTCTTGAGCTTCCTGCGGACATCCAAACTGCTGCTCCCGGATGACTTCAAGGTAAGCCCGTGGCCACCCTGCACTGCCTGGGCAGTGGCATCACATGGGGGACGCTGTGACTTCTGCATAAGTGGACCCACGGTTGTCATGGCAACCATATAAGTGGTGAAGTCAAGGGCTAAATTAGTTTTTCTAAACTAATTTTTTCTCACACCTTTAACTTATTGATCAGGGCGTGACAACAACGTGAGCAGTGGCAGCCGCCCTTCCCTGGCTCCATGTTTGTCATGTTCAAGGATGGTTAGGTGCTGTGGTTATAGGAGTTACAGGTCCCTAGATCTGTTCCCTGTTGGACATTTGCAGGGGGAACCTGGATCCAAACCAAAAACCCTTTAACAAAGCTGACCTCAGTTCTCGGGGCAAGCCTGTCCAGTTCCTGAGAGCCCTGTCTCGGTGCTGGGTCCCTTCATGGCCTTAGGGACCCTGGAGGGTCCAGGCTGGGCTGCCCTGGCTCACAGCAGCAATTGTCCTTCCTTCCTTCCTTCCTTCCTTCCTTCCTTCCTTCCTTCCTTCCTTCCTTCCTCCCTCCCTCCCTCCCTCCCTCCCTCCCTTCCTTCCTTCCTTCCACCAGGGGACCAGTGGTCCTGGGGCTGTTTTGTCCTCCATTCAACTTGGTGATTTTGGGTCCCACCAACCGAACTCAGGCTGAAAATACAGTGAAACGAGGCAGAGGAGAGGGTCCTGTTCTCATAGCACTTACAGTCTGGTGGGAAGACAGATGTTGAACAAAAAAGACTTGAATTCCACAGGGGCAAACACTTCAGAGGAGGGTCTGGGGAGGCTGTTTCTCTGGGAGGGGAGGAGTACGGTGGGCAGAGCGGTGTAAGGGCCTTAGGAGGCCGTGTGGCGAGGCTCGGTGCCTCCCTGACCTGGAGAGGAGGTGTTCACCTGGGGCTGCGTGGCCTGGGAGGGCAGGAAGGGAGGCTGCGGGTTGACGTCGGGACCTTGGTAGCTGGCTGAGTGTTTGACATTTTCCCCTGCGTGCAGTAGAATGGTGGAGAGTAGAGGTGACTGAGGGAAAGACGAGCGGATTTGCAGATGGATTGCTCTAGCTACTTTGTGGAGAGGGATGTGGGGAGGGTGGGAGTGGGGCCATCAGGAGGCCAAAAGAGGTTTTTGAAGGCTTTGGACCAGGGTGGAGGCAGGAAGTGAAGAGGGAGCAAAGGGGTAGGTTAGACTTATGTTTATGAAAAGGACACAAAAGGTCATGGGTGGGGGTTGCTGGGGGTCAGGGGGGCCTCAAGGGTACTTCCACCTGTGGCTTCTGACTGAGGGGATCCGTGGAAGCCCAGGGATGGAATCGGCTGGGGGATGGAATTGCGGGTGGGCCGTTGGCTGCAGGCGTTCCGGGCTGTGAGGAAAGCTGTGGGGTTGTTCGGTGTGCAGGTGTCCCTTAAGGAGCCTCGAGGACCCCCGATGGAGGGACAGAATGGGTCCCTGACAGGCCTCCCTCGGGGCTCCAAAGGCTGGGCCAGCAGGCGGGAGGGTAGGCCCTGCTTTGGGTTGAGCTTCTTGCCTCTCCCCTAGGGGTCCTCAGGTTCACCAGCTGACCTTGAGCTGAGCCCCACTGAGTAGCATGAGTCATGAGTACTTGGCTACTCAGGGCTGCGGCAGGTGTGGGTAAGCATGTGCTGAGGGACGGTTGGTGTGAACCCGTCAGTCCCAGGAGGGGGCTGCCTGCCTGCTGAGAGATGGGCTCCCCACCCCGGGTCCCTCCTCAGGCAGCCTGCTAGGTAGGACACTGGGCAGATCTTGTTGTCTTTCAAAATCCTCACCCCCTTCTCTGAGCTGGGTGTCTACATCCATTTTATAGAAGAGAAAACAGGCTCAGAGAAGCTCAGTTACTGATGATCAGAGGCTTCAAAGCTGGCAGATGAAGATGCCGAAAACCCAGCCTAGGCAGGTCTGTTTTGCCTTCCTGCTGGGCTGCGCTTTTTTTAGGGTAGGTGAGCTTCTCCTCCCTGGGAGCTGAGAAGGAAGCAGGTCCCCAGGCATAGAGAGTGCCTCAGGCTTCTAGCCTCCTGGTCTTTCCCTGAGTGCTTGGGGCCAGATGAAAGAGCTCGGGCATCTAGCACAGATGCATACCAGCTGCCGCCCTTGGGTTAAGGCTAGACTTCGTGTGCTTGCCCATGCTCACTTGAGCCTCATTTTCTCCACCTTTACAATGGGCACAACCATCCCAGTTCACAGAGTGCCCTGGGGTGGGGTGGAGAGTCACAGTTCTGTAGAATGGTAAGAGGAGACGCCCCTGGAGTTGGAAAGGGCAGCCCACCACATACCACCTCTCCGTCTGCATTCCTGCAGGACTTCAGCCTGTTGTACGAGGAGGCCCGCTACTACCAGCTGCAGCCCATGGTTCGCGAACTGGAGCGTTGGCAGCAGGAGCAGGAGCAGCGGCGTCGCAGCAGGGCCTGTGACTGCCTGGTGGTGCGGGTCACACCGGACCTGGGTGAGCGCATTGCGCTCAGCGGCGAGAAGGCCCTCATCGAGGAGGTCTTCCCGGAGACCGGGGATGTCATGTGCAACTCTGTCAATGCTGGCTGGAACCAGGATCCTACACATGTCATCCGCTTCCCCCTCAACGGCTACTGCCGGCTCAACTCGGTGCAGGTGAGGGCTGTGTCCCCCGCACCCGCCTCACCTCTGCCTCCCCAAAGCCCTCCGGCAGCAGAGAGGTGGAGGCGGGCCAGTCCCTGAAGTGGCGCGGCCCTCCGTGCCGTCTCACAGAAAAGGCAACAATGTGTGGATGCATAATTTATGTCCTGCTCATAATTAAATGATGGCGCCTGGGGGATGGACTTAAAAAAATTGATCTGTACTCTTTGTTTTTTCCAAAAGGATGTTCTCTAAAAATTGTCCAGAGTACCTTCAACAAAGTGTGCCTCCTTTGACACCCAGAGTCTGAGTTGGGAGTCAGATCCTATTCAGGCAACAGGAGCGGCAGGTCAGAGGCTGGGCGTGGAAGTAGCCCAGATCCCGCCCTCGCCCTGCCAGCACAGCCACGGCACCCAGGCAGCTGCCCTGGGTGTTTCCGTGCTGGCTTTCCCTAGCTGGGACTGAGTTGGGAAGCCCAACATGGAGTGGGGCCTGTTTTCCCCCAGCTCTTCCAGATGCAATAGCACACCCCCGCCTCAGGCTCGGGGTAGACACAAGACTTTGGGGGAAAGACCCCTCCCCCCCCCACGTGCACATATCCCACAGACTGGGGCAGGACACAGGTGACGGACACGGTGACTACACAAAACCCTCACAAAGGCCTGCAGAGACACAGGCACAGAGGATGTCCCCTCCTCTCCACCCCAGTTCCCTTGAGCTGATGAGCCCTCAGGCCTCAAACCATCTGGGACTTGAAGCTCAGGGAAGCAGGTGGCTGCCCAGAGGCCATGGGTAGGGTCTCTATTATTGGGACAGGTCTCGGTGAGGAGAGGGCCCTGCGGCTTCGTCTGGAAAGACGGTCCGGTTACCCTCCGGAGAAGAGACGAGGAGTCCAAAGGTGCATTCTCTCTCCCTAAGTGAGGGCTGTGGATCCCCAAGGGCAGCAGCATAAGGACCCCACTTAGGTTTGGTCACTCGAGTGGCCCCAGGGCCTGGGTGCTTCTGTTCTGCCTATGTTTGCCCAGCTGGTGGTTCTGCAGGGACCCGTCTGTCTGAGACTTGAGATGTTAATAGGAGAAGGTAGCTTGCCCAGGCTAGGGCACACCTGCCTGCAAGGCCACGCCTGGCAGACTAGCAGCTGGCTTTGCTGACCTCTGTTTCTTCCCTGGCAGGTCCTGGAGAGGCTGTTCCAGAGGGGCTTCAGTGTGGCTGCATCCTGCGGTGGCGGCGTGGACTCCTCCCAGTTCAGCGAGTATGTGCTTTGCCGGGAGGAGCGACGGCTGCAGCCCACCCCCACTGCTGTCCGGATAAAGCAGGAGCCCCTGGACTAGGCCCAGCCTCAGTACCCACCTGAGGCCCCGTGACCCTGGGGGTGGCCCAGGGACCTGGAAACAGTACTGGGGAGTTCTGCCTGCACCTGCTTCATCTTCATGAGACCGAGGGTGGGGCTGCAGGGTCCGAGGCTGCCCTGGGAGCCCCAGGGCCCCAGGTGTCATGCCACAGAATGTGGGGTGCTGTGGGCATGCTTACCGAAGGACTGTTGATGTGACCCAAAGATGCGTCAGTGGGAGCTCCGCCACCAGTGCCCCGGGACCCCTGGGCTCCCCAGCCTGGCGCAGCGTCGTCCAAGGCCCTGGGGCTGGCCACGGTGGGGTCAGCACAGGCCCCCAGCCCACTGCAGAAGAGCTCTTCATCCTTCACGCGTGGCGAGCGCATCAGAGATGGCTTATTTTTCTACAGTATTTAAAACAGAGTAACTGCACAAGCCAGAGAGGCCAACAAGGACCAACACTTCTTTATCTGGTGCTCCGTTCTCAGTCAGATATGCAGCGTGCCCACCCACACGGGGGACGAGCTGCCAGGCCCTCCGGCCCACATGCCCATGGAGTGTGGCTTGGAGAGCTCTGGTCCCTGCTCTGGGGACATGAAGGGAGGGAGGACAATGCTGTAGGTACTGAAGCAAGGCCCCCAGGGAGCTGAGCTGCTGGCAGGAGGGTGGTTTGAGTGTGGGGGGCAGATGGCTGTGGAACCACCGACACCCTCACCTTTGCTGCTGCCTGGGATGCAGGCCACACGTGGTGGGTCACCTGACCTACCAGTGCTCAGGGGCTTCCGGTCTGGTTTGTGTGTCCTCACACCTGGGCTTCTGGAGGAGTCTCTCCCCATCCGGACCAGCCACAGGGCCGCATGGCATCCTTACCTCAGGAACGGGTCCCACGGTGAAGGGGCCCACCTGTCAGCAGTGTCCCCTGGGTCGCCACCTCAGGAAGCTGTCCCCAGCTCTGACTTTTCCACACTAATATGCACACTGAATTTTAATGAAATTTGTAATACTAGCCTGCTGGTAAGACCTGGGCACAGGCATACCTGGGACTTGCCCCGATTCCAACAAGGACTGGCCCTGAGGGGTCCTCAAAGACCTGCTGCCTCTTAGATGACAGGCCCAAAGATGGACACCCCCACTTCGCCAGCCTGGACTGAGCTGGCTCTTCCCAGGTGGAGGAACTGCAGACGCCTGCTCGGTGGTTGGGGCGCACAGCCGGCACTGCACTGCGTACGATGCCTGTAGACTTGTATAGGACTCCTTTAATATCGTAAAGATGCTGATGTACAGTTGTTGTGTTTGTGTACACACATTACGTTCCTAGTTCATGCCATAAACTGCTATAAAGCAAAAGACTGAGGCTGTGTCCTGTGCAGAAGCGGCATTGGATTTTGAGTTGGATGTTGTGCCCCGGGCGTTATGGGTGGGAGTCCTGCTTCTGTCCCTTCAGATCAAGGATGGACTAGCAGTGCTCACTGGGGGAGGGGCAAAGTCCCAAGCTGGCCGTTACTTACTGCAGTTGGGGCTTTCCTCACTGCTGTGACCTGTCCCCTGTGGGCAGGACAGATTCTGAAATCTCACAGCTCCTGACATGCCAGTGGAGAGGCAGACAGGTGTCTGGGTGCTTTTGAACCCAGTCTTAGGTGTTTGAGATTTTCCCTCTCTCTGGCTTTTGGTTGAGGTCAACACCCTTTTAGAGTCCCGCAGAGCTGTAGAAGGTGACGGTCCCCAGGTCAGAGCATCCAGGGCACGTGCAGGCCCTGGCATGAGAAGGGTCGATTACCTGAGCACCATGCAAGCCCACAGTGCGTTTGTTTCCAAGAGGAGTCTGAAGTTATTGATAGGGGCCTCCAACTTCAATGAGCCCTTTTGTATTTTTCCTCAAAGCCCTTACATTTTAACCCATGAGGACCCTTGTACATGCCGGGTATAGGCCACTGGCTTTGATTTGCCTGGAGCGTGAGAGCACAGCCACTTCCTGTCTGGGGTTGCGAAGCAGACGCCAACCCTCTGTACAATCTAATTTGCTGGACAAACTTGCCAGCCTTCTCCTTTGCTTAGCAACACACTTCCAGTTGGCACATCTGCATTTTGGCATCTGAGGTTCACATCTGAGAGGAGGAGAAAGTGTTTATTAGAAAGGAAGTCTTGTGAAAACAGCTCCTTGCAGCGTGACGTCTGTGGATTTCTCTGGTGTGATAGAGAGAAACCATTTCTCATGGTTACCAACTGGTGGGGATGCCCTAACATTTGAAGCAAACTAGATTTCTGAGTAAACCATAGTGCTTTAAAAAAAAGTACCTTACTGAACGTTACTCTTAATTTATTTCTTTACTAAGTAAAATCAGGAAGTACAACTTCACATAAGCTGGGGAATTTCTGAATTTGTAGAGAAATACTTTGCTCCCATAGTGACGCTAAAATTCTAATATGCATAATATCCTAAACAATAAGTACCAAGGGTTAATTCCTTTAAGACATTTACACTTTATATACAACACTTCCTGGAATTAATATATTGTACGTAATCTTTAGATAAAATGCCAGCAGTATAAATGTTAAATTCTGCTCTTTGTAAGCCTCAAAATAATTATTTTTTACTATAAGCAACTGGACAGAGGGCTGTTGCAATGCCTCCGATTCCCACTGACCCTCCATCAGTGCAGGAGGGACCTGGGCAGGCCAGCGGCAGGTGGCTTCTGCAACTCCAGCTTACATGGGGCTCGAAGCCAGGTCGCAGAACTAATAATATCTTTTAAAAAGTGTTTTTAAAAACCTACCACTTGACTGTGTTCCTTTGGATAAATAAAGGATATTTTATAAATTGTATATGCAGACCTAGCGCTTTGTTCTGACCCTGGAGGCAGCCACAAGAAGGTGCTGCGGTTTGGACGGTTTGGGAGCCACCATTTCTCACACCTGGGGCTTGGCTTGGCCACTGAAGACCTGGAGTAGCTCAGCCCCCCCCCCCCCCCCAGTGCTGTGAGGGGCTGGGCTCTAAGCAGCAGGAGTCTAGCATGCACCCTTCCCGGAGTGGGAGCGGTGCAGGCACAGACTTCCAGACTACCTTCCTCTTTCCTGAACCCCCAACCTGGATTCCTGCGTTGGGGTGTATTGGGCCTTTTGCTAAGGGCAGCTTCCTGCCAGGAGCAAGGTGAGCAGTGATGTGCTGTTAGGAGCTTCAGAGTTTTCTAAAGCAACCACAGAGTTCTCAGTGGACCACAACCCTAGTGAGGGCTGAGGGTCAGAAAGAAGGGCTGACCAGGGACCCCTGCTTCGGTCCCTGCCCTCCCATCTCTGAAAGTTCAGGTGCATTTCTGCATGGGCTTCCAGCAGAAGGGAGAGCACACGTGGCCTTTGGGCTGCACTCCCACCCCTCGTCCCCAGCTGATCTTGTCTGGGACACTAGATGGCAGCTCTCATTTCCTGAGCCCCAGAGCTGGGCAGACAAGGCACCTGCCTAACCTATGGTGAGCTCTCCAAACCTTAGAGCTGCAGGCTGAGTGGGGGCTCCCCTGGAGTCAGGGGCCCCTCCTGCAGATGTGTATCCAGGCATCACTGCCTGTCAGTTGCTGCTTATCCACAGGGAAAGGCTCTGTTTCTCGTCTACCCTCCTACTCTCAGTGAAAGGATGCCTTCCTTATACAGAATGGGTGTAATTTTAGGGTCACAGGATTTTGACCTATGTAGCCATGGAGGCTTTGGACACCCATCGCCAAAAGGCTCCCTGTTCACTGCAGAGACGCTTGTCTTCCCAACTGCCCTGGGAGTGCTGGAGATCGGCAGCAACACGTGCCAGGTGTGCAGGTGGCGAGAGCCCACGAGGCTCAGAGCAGACATTTGTTTATCTGCAAGGATCCTCTCCTTGAGGCTCTAGAAAATTACTGGGAAAGAAATGTCCACATCGTATGTTTCAAGTTCATCACAGCACCACACACGGATCACCCCAAAATTCCTTGACTTGCACGTGGGCTGACAGCCTCTGAGGCCTCACTGTTGGCATCTCTGCAGTGAACCTGGCTTCTCCAAAAATCTAACAAGAGACCCAAGGACACAGGCAGGCACAAGCCCGGGGGAAATGCAGCCATGAGTAAGTACCGGAGTCAGCTGCATCTGGACTTTTGCCTTTATTTCCATCACACAGGACAGCCAGCTCTGACAGCCGACTCTCAGCCTGTCACCAGTGCTGGGCTTCCTTGACCCAAGACCATGGCTCGAGAATGGTAACAGGTGCAGGACCTCCTCATACAGATGTCACAAACCAGGACAAAGTGTTCAAGGGCAGGAGCAGAGCAGGACTGGGGCTAGGATGGCCCAGCCAAGCCCCTTGAGGATGCCCACCTTGCCCCCAGGGGCACAGAGACCCCACATGCCTGGCACGATGGAAGCCACCATCCTGCCACTGGCTGGAGCTATTCTCGGCCAGGCCTCCTCCTCAAAACCTGTGTCTACCATGTCCCCAGAGCTTCCTCCTCTGTGTCCTGGACCCGGTCCAGGACTCCCAAGGAAGCTGCGGTTTGGGGTGCAGGGTCTGCTGCGGCAGGGTGGGGTGGCAGCTCCCACTCCGGACGCGGGCCACGCCCTCTTGGATGCAAACACACCCACATTTCCCCGGGCCCACAGAGTCACACCTCACCCTGCAGCCAAACAGCAAGAAAGCAGAATTGTACGAGTACGTACAAGGTCCTGGAATTCTCACCCGGTTGCCACACAGAGTTTGGAACATAATTGGGGGAGGTTGTGCAACTGCCCTGCCGAGAAGCTGGGTGTGCTACGAGAGCTCTCCAAGTTCTCAGCACTGGCGTCACAGAGCCTTGGGAGAGAGCCAGACACCAGCACTGCCACCTTTGGGTGGCACCAACAGCCTCACCCTGGTAGGATGGCAGTGTGGCTCTGCTGAGAGCTGGGCTGCCTCCAAGACCCTCAGGCTGGTCACACACCAACTCCTGAGGGAGGAGAGTGGGGGGCAGCACTGGGGGTCACCTCACCCAACTAAGGCAGAAAACTGATAATCCCTTCTTCCACCCCATGAGGTGTGTGCTTGGGCAGCTGGGCTGTACTCTCAGTCCCCCTGATCCCCTATGGGTGGGTCCATCCCAGGGCCCCAGTGAGTCACTTCCCCAGGCCATAAGGCCTTAGTGGAAGGTGACTCCCTCCCCAGCAAAGCCTCCTTTGTTCTATGGGTTCACTTCACAATCCCTTCTTCCCGTTGGTGTTGCAAACTCAGGTCCTGAAGGGAACAGGGGCACCAGCTGAGTAGCACAGAGGTGGGCCAACAGGTGCTGTCTGGAGAGTGGTCTGGTGCTGCTGAAGGCTTCAGCTTGCTTTCTTGCTTCCTGTGTCGCCTGCCCTCTCAGGGCTCAGGGCCTCCCATATCCCCACACTTCTGGGGAAACCCCACTTCCTTGCACAGGCTTTGGGTATGTAACCCCAGAAGCACTGATCCCGGATCAGGAGGAAGGGTGGTCTGGATGTATACCCTGGCAGGCTGTGCCCACCCCAGTTGCTGACCAGCCCCTGACACTTCTCTTGCCTCAGGAAGCAGCTCCCTGAGCTCAGATGACTGCTTTACCAGCCCCTGCTCTGCTCCCTTCCCTCGGCCTCCCCCAGTTCCCTTGCCCTGGTGGAGGGGCCCTGTGGAAGCCCAGCCTAAGAAGGTAATTCATCAAAGCACCTTGATCACAGCCTCTCGTCTGCCTTCCGCCCCTCCTCACCTGCCAGCCCCAGCTGGCAACGGGGAGGGCTCATTGTCCTGGGAGTTGCCCAGCTGCAGGTGAGCTGAACCACTGTGTGCTGAGATGTGCCTCGTGTGTGGTGAACATAGGTTTTGCAGCCAACTGGGACTCTCATTTTGAAGAAGTATAAGACTAATCTCCAAAAAAGGATGTATTCATGAAGAGATTCTCAAATTTTACTGACAACAGTAAATTCGGAAAATGATGGGGCGGGAGGACCACAGTGTCCTAAAAACAGAAGAAAGATGAAGTGTATTATGGAACATCATTTGATGAAATTTATTTATCCTTCTTCCACAAATATTTTTTGTTACAGTCTGCCATGCATTTGCAGAGCCCACGAGACAGTAGAGGGTTTCCTGGAGACCAGGATCCGAGTCACATGTATCACAGACATCAGCTTACCAAATCCGTAACCACACCTGTGATGAAGGAGCAATTTCTAGTCTTATTTACCCCAAAAAGTAAAAGGGGTAAGGTCCCTCACCTCTGAGGGCTGGGAGAGCAGCTCCAGCCGGTTCCAGAGCCTGTGCTCCTGCCATTAAAACAAAGACTAGTGTACTGGTTTCCTACTGCTGCTACGCCACCGATTTAATGGCTCATAACCATGACTCATACCATTCTAGAGCTGAGAAGTCTGAAGTGGGTTTTGGGTTTTTTCCCCATTACCATTTACTACCTTTACACCCCTGCCCCACAGTCCATGTCCATGGGTCCTTTTTCCTTTTTGCTCAGTCTCTCCACCCCCTAAATGCCCTTCCCTCCATTTATGAATCTCTGGTTCAATTCCCAGTCACTATGTGAATTTGTGTCAGCCTGCTCTCTGTCTGTGAATCTCTCCCTGTTTTCCTTGTTAGTTTGGTTTGTTGGTTAGATTCCACATATGGTGAGGTCATATGGTAATTGTTTTTCTCTGGCTGGCTTTTTTCCCTTAGCATAATGTTCTCCAGGTCCATCCATACTGTCACAAATGGCAAAATTTTCTTCTTTTTATGACAGAGTAGTATTCCATTGTGTAAATATCCCATAGTTGCTTTATCCACTCATCTACTGAGGGACACTTAGGGGCTTCTTTCATATCTTGGTGTTTGTAAATAATGCCGCAGTGAACATAGGGGTGCTTATGTTCTTTCCAATTAGTGTTTTGGATTCCTTCAGATGTATTTCCAGAAGTGGGATAGCTAAGTTGAAAGGCAGATCCATTTTTAATTTTTTGAAGTATCTCCATACTGCTTGCCACGGTGGCTGCACCAATTTGCATTCCTACCAATTGTGCAAAAGGGTTCCCCTTTCTCCACATTGAAATGGGTTTCACCAGGCTCAACTTAAGGTGTCAGAACACTTGTATTTCTTTTTGGTGGCTCTAGGGAGGAATTTGCTTCCTTCCTTTTCCAGCTTCTAGAGGCTGCTCACACTCTTGAGCTTGTGGGCCTTCTTCCATTTTCAAAGTTAGCTATACAGCATCTTTAAATCTCTCCGACTGACTTTTCTAGACTAATAATTACATTTGGTCCACCCACATCATCCAGAATAATCTCCCTATATTCATATCAACTGATTAACCTTAATTGCATTTGCAACCTTACTTCCCCTTTACCAGGTGCCTTAACATATTCACAAGTTCCTAGGTTTAGGATGTGGACTTATTTGGAGGGCATTATTCTCTCTTCTACAGCTAGGTAGCAACGTTATCCTAAAAACTATTATCGAACGTTATCCATTTGAAAACTATTTATTGAACACATGCGTTAAATGCCAGGTACTAGCTGAGTTGCCTTTGGGGATACAGCAATGAATGAAGAAAACAAAAATCTCTGACCTTACGGAGTTTACACTCCAGTGGAGAGAAATGGACAATAAATGAAATAAATAAGCAAAGAGTGTCACAGATTAGATGCTGCTAAGTGATAGGGGGGAATAAAGCAGTGAAGAGGGTAGGTAGTGTGTGCATGTTGCTATTTTGGTCAGTGTGCTGGACACCTACAATTTGCCCTCTCTCCTCACCCTGGGCCTGGTGGCTAACATTTGTGAACAGCATCAAGGGGCTCCCTTGCC